CAACATATGTTGGCATATTCGTCCAAAATTACACCTTTTCCTGGATTTCCGACACATATGATGACTCATGGACAATTATTAGCATCGACCACTAATATTACTGAAAAGTGATTACGCCGAGCTGTCAAACATTTTATATAATAATTTTTGATAACAAAAAAATCCTTACCATATGCGCTAAAATCAATTGATTTCTTAATTATGTTAAATAAATTTTTTGTATATTATTGTATGTTCTTTTAGTTTTCTTATAATTTATTCCTTCAATGTCTTCCTCCTCCTATGATCAAAATTTGTACTAGATTTTTTCAAAAAAAAAAAAAAACCAAATATAGTTTCAACCATTAAATTAAAAATATATATATGTATATATATATATATATATATAAATTGTTAAAAAAAAAACCGCTTTTTTTTACGCCACATTTATTTATGATTAGAATTTTAAGTTATATATACGTATATATATCTATATATTAATATATATATATTAATATATATTACAACTTTTTTTCCGTACAAAATAAAAAAAATTCGTTTATGCTGGATTTTAATTTGATTTGTGGCGCATTTATATTATATACAATGAACATATATATAAACAATAAACCCCTCTTTGTTTCTTAAAAATTTAAAAAAGGTAAAGTCGCGTTTTTTTTTTTCTTTAAACATACATATAATTAATATAAGGCGAAGTAATTTAAAAAAATTCGGGATTGATTATATAAACTGAAGAAACCGTGAGGTTAATTAGATAAACCGAAATTTAAGAAAATTTAAGCAAGTCAGTAAGCCATTCATTTATTTATTATTATTATTATTTTTTTTTGATGAAATCTCTTAGTTTGACTTATCGTTACAAGAATGGCTTAGTTAACAAAGCCATGATTAAATATTGCTTAGGTTTGGCGTTGGCGAATGCTTAGGATTCGGGAATTGTGAGTAGATTCACAGATTGATCTTTCGAATAATAATCTCAGAGATCGTGATTTTTTTTTCTTGAAATTAGAAAGGCTTTGATTAAATTGATTTAATTTTCAACATATATATTTATATATTTATATTATATGTAAATATATATATATATATATATTATATACACAAATATAAAAAGCATAACCGGTGACTTTTTTAATCGTAAAAAATTTTTTAACATCAAGAGTTCTCGCGTCAATTAGTGATTAAAATTCGAATCGCTAGCCACGGCATTTACCGAAAAAAATTTAACGCTTTTATAATAAACGTTTAGACGCGCCTCTCGGATGTCTCCCAAGAACAATATATTCACTTGAATGTGTAGATCAAGAATTCCATTAAGAACTAATATTATCGTCATAGAGTGCATGAATCATAAGACTTTACGCGTTTCTTCCATAATGATTACGAAATTTCTTTTCGCGGATGTAACGCGATAGTCGCGAAATGATCTGTCTAGGGCGTTGCATTCAAGTTGCAGTCTCGAACTTGCAAGTAAAATGTGGTTATTTATTGATTAAAATGGTTTGGATTGAAAATATTGATTGTTTCATGTGAATTTAATAATATTTAAGATTAATTTGGAATATATTCCTTACAATAAATAAAAAAAAAAAAAACAAAAAAGCCTTAATTTTAATTTAGTATATTTAACAACTATTTTTAATATATTGTAGTATATTATGTATTTATATAATCACTCAGTCTTCTTACAATTTATTCAATCTATTCCTTTGTACAACGGGAAACTCGATCTGTGATAAAGTTTTATCACCCACATTTAATCCAGCAGTAATAACATCACCGGCAAAAATAGGGCCAACTCCCGCTGGTGTGCCTTTATTGAAAAAAGAGTAATATTACGCAATAATAATAATAATATAATAATAATATAATATAGTAATTAGTTATGAGAATAATGTTATATCGATATATAATAATATCGTAGTGAATTTTTTTGAAACTACCTGTTAGTATCAAGTCACCTTTCTCAAGTCTCATGATCGAACTAACATATTCGATCAAAGTTGGAATTTTAAAAACCATATCTTTTGTTGATCCATTTTGTTTCATTTGATTATTAACCTATATTAATATTACAAAAATTTTAACAATTTCATTCTGTCATTTAATACACAGTCTACCCTCGTTAATATCAACCTAAGCTATAAGATGAATCTTTACAAATTTTTATGTATTAATATACCAACTAATCAAATAGGTTGATATAAACGAGGGTAGACTGTATAAGCATATAGATAAATGAAAATGATATAAACCTTGAGCCATAAATTAACACTTGAAGGATCTCTAATCAAATCTTTCGGAATAAAATCTCTGAATTGGAATACAATTTAGTCAAAAGAACTTTTTGGCGAAATAAATT